AGGTGTAAAAAGGTGTTATGTTTGCGGCTAGCATGCCCACAACTTCCCTGAAGTCAGCTGAGACTTCTCAGGCAAAGGCACTTAACCTGGGCTCCGGGAAGGTATGATAGGTTTCAGGTTCCTGGGAAACCCCTGCAGCTGTACAGAAAATTCTGAGTGTGTGTGCGTTCTCCTGGTGCTGGGGACATCATAGCTTTTGTCAGATCCTCAAAAAAGCCATATGACCCCAAAGTGGTAAGCACACTGCTCTTGGGTACTTGGGGCTTTCTGGGTGGTCTGGACACAGAGCAAGACCTGTACTTGTCTTATACACGCTAGCCCTTCAAAGACTCTGGGCCAGACGAGCCCAGGACTGTGCATGGCCACAGCTGGGTGGGTGCTAACCAGCTCGCTCAGCAGGGCAGCTGGCTAATCAGGGAACCCAGTCCTTTAATAGGGTGCCCTGAAAAGAGAGCCATATTGTCAACTGTAGCCACATTTGAGCACCTGTAGGGAGCAGATTAGGGAAGCAAGACTGATAACATGATAATACACAAGTTTGTCCCTTCTCGCTCTGGAGACCTCATTAAAATGAGACTGAAAAATCTAATTTGAAAATGCACATGCACCCCGGTGTTCACAGCAGCACTATTTATAATAGCCAAAACATGGAAGCCACCTAAATGTCCATCGACAGATGATTGGATGAGGAAATTGTGGTATATATAAACAATGCAATACTACACGGTCATAAAAAAGTATGAAATGATGCCATTTACAGCAACATGGGTGGACCTAGAGATTATCATACTAAGTGAAGTAAGTCTAATAGAGAAAGACAAATATTATGATATCACTTATATGTGGACTCTAAAAAAAAATGACACAAATGAACTTATTTACAAAACAGAAATAGACTCACGGGCATAGAAAACAAATTCATGGTTGCCAAAGGGACAAGGGGTAGGGGAAGGTAAATTAGGAGTTTGGAGTTAGCAGATGCTAACAACTATACATAAAGTAGATAAACAGCAAGGTCCTGCTGCAGAGCACAGGGAACCATATCCAATAGCTTGTAATAACCTATAATGGAAAAGAAAATGAAAAGGAATATTATATATCTATACATATATATATATATGTAACTGAATCACTCTGCTGTACACCAGCAACTAACACAACATTGTAAACCAACTATACTTCAATAAGAAATAAAGTAACAAAAATAAAATAAAGTGAGACTAAAGGCATTTGGGAAAAAGAAAAGGCAGAAACGCTCACTGACGAAGTGACCAGGCAAGAGGTGACCAAAGGATAAGTCATCTCGGCCAGTTTCTGGAAGACGGAGAGCAGCTGCAGGAGTGGTAATGAACGAGGCAGGGCTGATAAAGCCCTGGCGTGGCGTCCACACGGAGGGGAGCACAGCTGGAAGGGAGCAGACCTGTCTCGCAGGGCCTTGGGCAAGATCGAGGCTTCAGAATACCAACTTTAACAGAGGACAGAAGTAAGAGATGGGGGGCTGCATTGGGCAGCCAGGCATCAATTCCTCAGGCATAAAATCTGAGCCTTTGTTTTCCTAAAGAAATTTAAAGACCAGAAACAGTTTGCTTCCTCGTATTTGGGCATGCCACCTGTCTACCTGTTAGCGGACAAGCCCCCTCCTCTACAAAGACAGCACACCCAAACATTTTGCATTTTTCATACATGTGACTGGAAAGCTAAGGGTCACCAGGTATTTCAGGAAAGCCACACAAATAAATTTTTAAAAGACCAAGGTAAACAGAAAAACGGACTCCAAAAAAAATAGAGATGATGTAGGAAACAAGAAAAAATTCATAACTGTCATTTGTATCTTCAGAAAGATTCATGATAGTGTTATGGTCATCAAACAGTAACAGCTTGCTATCAACAAAAATCAGAACTCGGAAATAAAATCAGCGAAGTCTCTCAAAAATAGAATAAAAAGACAAAGATTCAGAAAAGATAAAGGAAAAGCTAAAAGTCCCAGAGGATCAACGCAGGAAGTCTACCACCTAGCAAGGGCCCTGGTGGCATCAGAACATCCAAGGGATGCAGGGCCTGGGATCCCGGCCAGGACTTTGTTTACAAGGGTTGAACTCTGGTCCAGTGTGAACTGGAACAAGCGAGGCCTCTGTGCACCCAGGGACGATGTGAGCAGCCCTTTGAATTGCCTACCAGCAGCTTTGTTATAAAGAACAGTGCTTGCTATCAGTCCCTTGGCCGTGGTATTTTTAAAATCAAGATGCATATTTTGCATCTAATGCTGGTGATTTTGTTTTTGCCTCACCAAATTGTCTGTTAACTTTATAGGTCAGCATTTTAAGGGAAACAAATTTTATTGAGGTATAGTTGATGTACGGTGTTATGTAAGTTTCAGGTGTACAATGTAGTGATTCATAATTTTTAAGGCTATGTATGCTCTGTTCATAGCTGTTCTAAAACATTAGCTGTATTCTCTGTGGTGTACAGTATATCCTTGTAGCTTATTTATTTTACGCATAGTAGTTTGTACCCCTTAATCCCCTCCCCCATCTTGCCCCTCCCTCTTCTTGCCCCTCCCCCATCCTGCCCCTCCCCCTGTCTTGCCTCTCCCCCTCTTTAGAACCTTTACTCATCCCTTCCTTTCTGCTTCCCTCAGAGAGCTGCCGGTGTTCTCAGTCGTACCCTTTCTTTCTCCTTGAAAATCGTTGAGGAGGCTCTAAGGGCAGGAGTGGTGAAGAAGATGATTAAGTTCCTGAAGGTAAATTAATGTCACTGAATTTACAAGAGTGTCATTTTATTGGGGGAACAGAATTAAGGAGGGTTTCATTCAGTTAAAGTGCTGCCATTTCACCTCTACTAGATCCTAAACTTCTCGAACGGGGATTCCCTTCTGACTGTCCACCCAGACTGTTCTCTGAACAGCTACATAAGATCACTGAAGAAATCAGTAAATTGTTCATTAGATATAGTACATAAAGACCGCTGACCATTCAAGCCTAACTTAAAGATATATGGCCCCTGTCCTCAAAAAAGATGGCCTGGTGATTGGATAAAGAAGATGTGGTGTGTGTATACACACACACACACAATGGAATACTACTCAGCCATAAAAAAGAATAAAATAATGCCATTTGAGCAACATGGGTGGACCTGGAGATCGTCAACACTAAGTGAAGTAAACCAGAAAGAGAAAGAAAAATACCATATGTTATCACTTATATGTGTATCTAAAGAAAAGATGCAAATTAATTAATTTACAAAACAGAGACAGACTCACAGACATAGAAAACAAATTCACAGTTACTAGGGGGAGGGATAAATTGGAAGTTCAAGATTTGCAGATACCAACTACTATATATAAAATAGATAAACAACAAGGCCTTACTGTGTAGCACAGGGAACTGTATTCAATAGCTTGTAATGGCCTAGAATGAAAAAGAATATGAAAAGGAATATATATATGTCAAACTGAATCACTATCCTGTATACCAGAAACTAACACAACATTGTAAATCAACTATACTTCCACAAAAAAACAGATGGTCTGAGTGGTTTTCAGCAAGGTTTCTCAGGCCCTGGTTTTGCTCGTGTTTTCTTGCTCACGATGCTATATCCAGTTACTTGGAGAAGGTTGGATGTAGCTCCACTTACGAGATGTGCAGGTTTCAGAGTAACCACATGCCAGAAGTATGTTCAGATTTTCCAGTGTGATGAATCTATGTGAGTTAGTACAAGAGTTAACTAGATTCTCCTGAAGGGAGGGGTGAGTTATTAGATTTCATCTCTGGATCCCACCCGTGATGCACGTGCCCAGTGAGGTTCACTCACCCACGTGAGTGTGCTGACCCCCCTGGGAGACTTATTCATAAGACCCCAGTGGCTCCAGGAAGTGTGCTCTGTGAGGGGCTACTGTGGAGACAGGTGCAGTCCTGAGGGGCTGGGATAGTGGGTGTGCGTTTAGGCTGCCCCATCCTTCACTCTGTGTAACTTGCACACCCACACACCCACCGGAGCCGATCACATGCACACACGTGAGCATCATGCATGCATTCACGCACACATGCATTTTTAAAGCCCCCGCATAGGGTGATTTTTAAGGGTTATGATTTGACAGTTGTCACCTCTTAAAACATCTAGATTCGTGATGTCCTCCATGCCGGCCTGTCAGCCTGACAGCCTTAGCAAGTCAGCCCTCATTCTCAAATAGTGAAATGACATGGGAGGGCCTTCTCCCTTCTCGCTAGATCTGCCAGTCGACAGCACAGTTCTCTTCTCAACCACTCACTCTGGAGCCTTCGGCAGGTGATTACTCAGGTGTACATGACAGACCTCCATTCATAGCGGGGGTGCCGGCCGTGTTAGGGAGGAGGTGAGTGACACTGCATCCCAGCAGGGCCCAGGCCGGCTCGCTGCGAGGCACACACCATTCTCAGTGGAGCAGCTCTTTGTTTGGGAAGACATGAGCACAATCACAGCTGCTCGCTGTGGTTTCCAGCCACGAACAGCCGTGGGATTGATTCTATTTTTCTAACTTCATTCTGAAATCTAGGCGGGAGGCCAGACTGCATCACGTTATGCTGTCAAGATACTCGCCATCTGCACCAATAGTTATCATGAAGCTCGAGAAGAAGTGATAAGATTGGATAAAAGTAAGTGATGGCTTCATGAAGTGGAGCCCACATTAACCCAGAGGTTAATCCATCCTTGAAGGGAACTGCGGGGGGAGGAGGGCGGAGAGACTGAGGATGACAGTTAACCCCTCCCAGACTCCGGCAGTGTGTACCAGCAAGATGTCATCTCACCTCCAGCTCTGGAAGCTTTTAATTAGCCTTCAGCCACACACGGGTAGCATGTCCACGCTGGGTGGAGACTCAGCTGTGAAACGGCTCAAAGATAACGGAGTTGAGGCTGGGAGCTACCTCCCCTCTTCTAACAGTAAGTTGAGACTGTAAAGCCTTCTGCTGAGATTGACCCAGCACGGGTCCTCTTCCTTCCCAGGGGAAGCACCTTTAACCTTTGTGACTGAGGAGAATATCAAAGTCCTTGGACTAATAGCTTTAGTCCAATCACTGAAGCTGGCTGCTGTCATCTGGGTCCTGCTAACTAATGTTCTAGTTCACATCTCTTCTGGGCCACACAGGACTGCACTGAGTCAGGCCCCACTGAGTGGGGAGCAGGAACCCTTCCTGTGGGGCCTGTTCCTGGCCCTGCAGGTACAGGGTGCAGGCCTGTGGCCCTCCACTCAGGGGCTGTTGAGTGGCCCGCAGAGGTTATGAACGGGGACTTCAGAGGGACCTATCTGATCCATAGCCTGCATTCCCCCCAAGATCTGAGTCATACTGGGCACCGCTCCGGGCTCCTGAGGTCCATCAGAGACACGGCCAGGAGCCACAGAGCTTCTCAGATCTCAATAGGGATTTGCCAAATGGGTGACACATCCGTCCCCTGCCACCCCTCTGTGTCCTCCACATTCCAGTCCCAGCCTCCTGCTTGGGATCTGGGGGCACTGATGTTTGTTCTCCTTCTCCCTGCAGAGCTCAGCATTCTGATGAAGCTGCTTGACTCAGAGGATGAGATTGTGGTGGGCAACGCTGCCCTCTGCCTGGGGAACTGCATGGAGGTGCCGCTGGCAGCCTCCTCCCTGCTGAATACGGACATTGTGCAGGTCTTGCTGAAGCTGGCGGGCAGCGATGCGCAAAAGACGGATGTCCAGCTCAACGCGGGCATCGCCCTGGGGAAGCTGTGCACGGCCGAGCCCAGGTGCGCGGGGCTGGACTCTGTGCCTCTCGGAACCCGCGGGGAACCCAGCTACTTCTCTGGAGGAAGTCCCCCGGGGGCACTAGGGAGCTATTAGGCTGCAGCTGGACTGGGGACGCTTTTATGAGACAGGGATCTTTCAAGACACCAATAGCCATCATCTTCTCTCCAGTCCACTCCCACCATCTCCTCCATTTCTCTCCTCTTTCTCTCCTTCCTCCTCCTCCTTCCTCTCCCTCTCACACCATCTCCACTTCTCTCTCCCTCCTTTCTCTCACTGTTTTCCCAGAAACAGTTAGACACCCCCACCCCTGCTTCTCTTTTTTTTTTTTTTCTTATTGCCTGGGGCCTAAGCATATGGAAGAATGTCCTGTGAGGTAAGTTCTCGTGCTGGAGGAAACAGGAGAGATGGGGAGTGGCACGATTAAGACCACCCGTCCAGCCCCAGCAGAAGGCTTCACTCTGACTGGGTATGTCGCCCCTCCGTCAGCTCAGACTTCTGCTCCGCTGTGGCCCCATCTGATGTGTTGGAACACCTGGTCCTCATGCTCCTGGAAGGTGCCCACCTGTGGCTGAGCGTGGAGCCCCGGCACAGGATGGGGTGCCTTCCGTGGACGGGGAGGGGCTCTGGCCTGCCTGCTTCCTTCTCTTACAGGCTCACCCTCTGGTCCCTCCTCTGTAGAATCAGAGGGTTGGCCTGGATGACATCTTAGGTCCTTTCAAGTTCTGTCTGATTGTTCAAACAGAAGGAATGGACAAAACCTTTCTCATACAGACAGCAAAGCACGCTAGCTGGGATGGGCTGCCGGTGGCAGCCTACCGGGGGTTTCGGGTTCCTGAGAGCAAGGCCCCTCAGATCACTGCCGCTCACACAGAGTGCTGCTGTGTTCTGTGGGCCTCCCCGCTTTGACCTTTGGGCCTCCCCAGGGCTGTAGCTGCTGCCCAAGGGGGCTTCTCCCTGAGACGGGGATGCCTCTGGGCCCAGATGTCTGCACCCTGGCACTTATGTCCTGGAGTCTGTGTTCTGCTTGTGACAGGTTTACCACTCTCCTGAGAGAGCTTCACGGGATGGAAATTCTCAGCTCCACCATGAAGTATATGAATGATTCCTGAGAGACGTGGTGGCTGTGAGTGTTTGGCAGACACACAGCTGTACGCTCTGGGTTGTTCCTGTGCTGATAAAGACTTCTGGAATATCCACGCCAGTCATGAGTATTGATTTTTCAGCGTGCTTGCCTGTGGGTTTCCGTTGGTAATAAGAGAGTGGCCATCAGGCCAGCTACCATGTGGGGACTGCCCCGGCTTGCTCAGCGACCCTCGTGGCCTCCTTCTGTTGCAGAAAAGATGTGTTACAGCTCAGTGTTACAGCTCAGTTGTGACAGCAACCTGGATCCGGGCGAGAGACCAAGCAGCACTCGGAGAGTTGGAGAACTCAGGTTTGTTATGCCAGTGGGCCCAGAGGAGTTAACACTCCAAGTTCTGGACCCCAGCTGTAGGTTTACACAGGCTTTTATAGGCTGTCAGTTTACACTTTGCAACATCATATATAAATAAGGTGTAACAAAAGTTGACTGATTAGGAACAAGCTTTGTAGAAATGGACCAATCAGGAGGGAGAGAAATAACCAATCAGGAGTGAGCTCCATGCAAATGAAGTACTACAAATGGACCAATCAGGAGTTAGCTCAGGAACCAATAGAATTTTAGGGGTAAGTTCCACTTTCCTAGAAGTAAGGCGTTTCAGAGGCAGAAAGTGAGATAGAGCCTCCAGGCCAGGGAACCGGATGGTGCTGGCCGGAGAGTAGTGGCCCTGCCTGGGGGTCCTGCCGGTCTCTTTTTATAGGGCTTCCCACCTCACTTCCAGCATCCCTTCCTGCTCTGCAGTGGCTGGACACCAGCAAACAAAAAGCCACATTCCCCAGACTCTCTTGTAAGCCACGGTTCTCGACGGGAACTAGATTCTGCCTACTTAACACCCTGCCTGACCCTCTGCTGTTTCCTGCCGGCAACATGCCAGAAGCATCAGGGTTCTCAACAGTGGCATTTCAGCCTCCGCTTTCCAGCTCTTACGTGCCAAGGGACAGCTGCAGTGGCGTCGGCGGTGGTGGCAGCCTCCCCAGGCCTGGCCCACCTCTGTGGCATGTGGTCTGGAACTCAGTGGGTGGAGCGGGGGGGGGGGTGGCTTCCCTGGCAGGGGGTTCTGTCGGATCCAGGGGAATCATTCCGGGAAGTGCCTCCTGGTACCTTCCTCCCCACCATGTAAGGATGTGGTGACACCCTATCCCTTAGATTGTTTTCTGCTTAATGTGCCAAAGCGGGAAGGGGGAATCTGTTTCTGCGCTGCACTCTTACAAACACAGAAATATTTATTTCCCTGGCCCACCTTTGTCTCCCACCCCCATCCCCAAAAGGCACTGCTCCCTTACAGTTGCCCCAAGTCCACTCTGAAACTGACAGGGTCACCACTGGACTCCAAGTCCCTAAGGAAAAAAGTCCAGGAAGTGCCCCTGCTGTTCCAATTTTCAGAACAATCACGTGGCTGTTTCGGGGTGAGGCAGGACCTGCACGGTGTAGTGAATGCCAAGAATCTCAGACCAAAGTTCTAAAGACTTAGGGTCCTACCCTGCTAGCTGGCAGCTGTGTGACTTTGGCTAAATCTCTTAACCTCTCTGAGCTTTGGCTGGCTTTTGGAAAAGCTAGACAAATACCTGTCCAACCTAGCTCCAATATTGCTGTGAAGATTAAATGAAGTTCTAGAGGGAAAGGCACTAGGAATTGCAAGTGCTGCACAGATGTAAGAGATTTCCAGGCTCCATCCTGAGACTGAGGGCGCTGACTCTGACGTCAGTTGAGTTACATTTGGGGGGCCTGGGAAAGGGTAAGCATGTGACCTTTAAGCAATCAGAGCTTGGACGTTTTCTGGGCCACGTAGGAAAGACAGGAAATCGTCCTCCTCCTGAGAGAGTTTGTTCAACACACCCAAACAAATGGTTCTTCACAAAGAGAGAG